CTGTATAGTTTACTAACATAATTTAATGATATCTGGAATATAACTTCCTGAAACCACGATATGATTATGAGAGACGCCGTAGTGGAGGGCTCTGGAAATGTCGACCGCCTGTGGTTCTTTAAAGTGCGCCCAAATCTGAGCACACGGGCCTACAACATTTTCGCCTACATCGAAAATGTAGCTGCCACAGCCGGAATTCGATCCCGTGACCAGCAGGTCAGCAGCCGTTGGCCAAGTACCTCATCCTCTAGACTACTGCAGTGAGGCTAGTTTACTAACATATTTCAAGGGAAAAAAGATCGCAGCATATGTGCGGAGTGAATGATGATGAGTGAGACGAAGCGCCTGTCTGTCCGTCCGCGCTTCCGTCCGTTCATTTGTTCTTGCTTCCGTCCATGCGTCCATGCGACCGTCCATGCGTGCGTCCGTCTGTGCATTTGTCGTGCGTCCGTCCATGCGTCCGTCTGTCCGTTCGTCCACGCGTCTATTCGTCCGTCTGTGTGTCCATCCATCCATCCGTGCATCCATCTGTCTGTCCATCCATCCATTCGTCCATCCACCCATGTCCTAGTCTGTCCGTCCACGCGTCCGTCCAACAATCTAGTGAACACTCGAAGTACCGCCCTCGCATCTTTTCTTTTCATCCTATATTCATCACATAGAAGTACCGCCATCCAGCGGACATTCCAAGGACTAAACGAGAGGTGGCTACCAACTACATCAACTACTACTACTACTGCTATTATATACATTGCGGACGCACGATCGACGGCTTAAGGAGCTTCGCCCCTAAAAGATGATGGACAAAGACAGTCATGTGTGGGTCGGGCCGCTAACCATAGTTCCTATAGAGCCCTGTGTTCGGAACCCGGGAAGAAATAATAGTTGCTGGCATTAACGTTCCAATGCTTTCGTTATGAGGGATGCCATAGTTGGGGGGTTCCGGAAATCTCAACCACCCGGGGTTACTTACCTTGCACCTAACTAAGTACGCGGAATGATTTTTGTCTCCCTAGAGCCAGCACGCCCGGGATACTAATCTGCGTCCTTCAGGTCAGACGTCGAGACCCATAACCACAAGACCACCATGGCGGCTGGCCCATGGGACGAACTCATAGGCGTGTGCAAGAGGGCGGAGTCACATATATTATGAGGAGAGGCGCAAAGTCAGCCAAATACATTGACTAGGGGGCGCTGCGACTCATGGGGGGGGGGGGACGTGGTCAGTCTTATACATTGACATAATAGAGAGAGGGAGCACTGCTACAAACATCACCCCCCCCCCCCCCCCTGCAGGAGAACCCTACGCACGCACGTGCATGAACTAATGTGCGAGAGAGCGAACTGACGCATGTCTTCGTTAACTAACTTCTTGCTCCTCGCTTTCGTTCGGCACCTTCGGACAGGGCATCGTGTGACCAAAGTGCGGCCGCATGGTGTCGTTCACAAGCGAGACTGCTCACGGCGTGCTGCCGGTGTTCACTGGGCGGCGATGCGCCTTGCTCGTCTGGATGACGTTCACCGGTCGAAAAGAGGAGGACGGACGAGCAGAATTCGACAAGCTGCTCCGGGACATCGACGGTCGCGTACGGAACAGCTCGGAGAGGGACGACCGATGGGACTTGCTCTGGAACATGAGGAGGACGTGACCGTCGACGACGCCACATTTGCGCAGGACACCTACCGAAGTGCGCTGTGCCTTATTTTATTTACATAACGTTGCTGTCCCTCTGGCGCGCGCCTACTACGTGATGAGTTCTATATGCAATTACTCTTTGTTTTGGTGCTTATCATCAGCTGACGTACCTCCATAGGCCACTCCCGCATACAATATATTGAACATTATATATTTACGTATAGTAATAATACACACAACAATGCATGCTCATGTACCCAAACATCATCAACCTGAATCTTAAATTCCATATGAAACGGGAAGTAACACCTTCGAATGAACTTTTTTTCTCGCATTACTGATGATTGGACCATATGGTCTCAATCATTAACTTTGTTCACTTGATGAACCTGAACAATATTTGGTATTTTAAGTTTGTAATAGAGGTCTGTGTTTTTTTCCTTTTCAGAATAGTGTGTTTTCTATTGTAATGTTATCCCTGCTACATGGGCCCACGTGCGCCAGGAGTATGTTTTATATAAATAGGTAAATAAAATATTTTATTATTAAAATTTATAAAAACGACATCTACACGCTCAGATGGTGGTTACTGGTCACCGTCAACACTTCCCAAGGTCTGTCAAGAGTAAAACAATGCAGATACGGTCGAGTAGCGCTTAATGACTACCCAAGCGATCCGGACTGCAGCAGACGATGGGGCCTTGGACGGGGAGTTCCACCTTGTGTGGCATCACAAGCAGATCTAATGAGTTTAGTTGTTATAGGGAGCTTGAACGAACGGTGGTGATGCTATGCACTCTGAATAGGGAGCCGTTTTTGTTGTCAGAGGTGGCCGGGGAGTGCAGCAGCGCAGTCGTGTTTGCGAGCGTTGGTATAGGTTGCAGACGGGGTCGAGTGCAAACGTGACGTAAGTTTTAACTCCAAGGGGTGTCGTGTATGATGTCAGCCTCACTGGAAGAATACACTGCAATGCTGTGCCAGAAAGACCTCTAGCAGTACGAAGAGGAAATTTTGCTGACTCGACCCATTCGCGCTTCCTGCGAGCAACTGTGTAAGCGAAACGGACTTGTGGCCGCGGGTCGACCGCTCCGATATTCCCGAAATTCTCGTTCCAAGGACGAGTTCGATTACACGTAAACAGTTGAATTCGAGAAAGACCCTCGAGGGCCACAACTTTATCACGCCTGGATGGGTGTGGGCACCGTGGGTTAAAGAGTTTGCCGTCGATACCGTACTTTCCCGACTCGCGATTCTGGTTCAGCCAAAAATACCACGTGAAACTTCTCAGATCGACCAGTTTAACCATTTCTTAAGCTCTTCAAGGCTAGAGTAAACTTTCGATTTTTCATTCCACAGAACTTTTGTCTTGTTTACCAGTAAGAAACATTCGTGGATTAGTAACATATACTGGCCTGAAAAATAGCATGCCTGTCCACAGAATTAGCGCTAAGTTTATTTTTATCTCCTTCCCAGAACCTTGTGAAAACTTTCAGGGGCACCCCTTGACAGCTGCTTTGTTACAATTGCTAAGAATTTCAGGAAACAGGTTTCCTGATACAGCTGCACCGGTTGCATTAGGACATGTTGCGTATGAATTCACCGCTCACATTTCCGGGCGTGCTGTTTTATAGAATACCAGAACGGACATATGCTACGTCGCAATGTTATCGCGTTGGAGGGCTGGAAACCACCACTGTGGGAGGACAGGGGTCAGTTCCTGGATCGACGGGGCGAAGAATATAGAAAAGACAAAGAATTGCGAAGCTAAGAAGAAAGTTGTGTTAGTAGGTTTCGGTCAGACAGAATTTTGCCTTAATCTATTTAGCAACGACGTCGACGTGTTTTCATGCCACCTCTTTGGTCGATTGTTCTCCGCGTCGACGAACCATAACATTTGGAGAAAAGTGAATGCTTCTAGTTAACCGGAGCTGCGTACGATAACAATGGCCGATTGTTACAGAGGCACGCGGTTTTCTCGCGGCAAATCGATGTTATTAGAATAGGTGCGCGTCTGTAAACACGAAGCGCGAACGCAAAAGTATCATACCTTGTTCTGATGGCCAGCCATTGTCATGTACATCAGACATTTCTCAGAGTTTCTCAGCTATTGCAACAAGAATGGCTGTAAATAGCGTACATACATAGTCATATTACAATCCAGTAAGTTTTCGGCATGTCGAAAAGTTACAGCTTACGTGTTTCTTGTTAAAATTTTTAACGAGAAAAGAACAAATGTTCTAAGCTGGCTAGTTTATATAAAGTTATTTGATTATTATAGTTAGCAGCGTATGTACCTCGTAATGCCTGCTTCCCGTAATCATTTGGTCTTTAATGTAACTTTTTATTTGGATTAAAAGTGAATGTCAAAGCTCTTCAATTGATCACGTAGGGCTTGTTAGGCATGACTTCTTTCGGTTAAGAGAGGGTAGCTTTAGAACGAGAACAATAAAGAAGCTGCTTGATCTTCCTGATCATCATTTATCGACATCATTACAGGCGTGTATTTGTACTTTTAGGTTTGCAGTTGCCTTTTAAGCTGGTAATTCAGATATCTTGAGACGACAAATTTTCTAATTCAAGTAAATGAAATACATTGGCTTTGACGTTTTGAAATGGAAGCCAACCCATCCACTGCCCACTGTTTTCGATAATTGTTTGTAAAATAGGAATTCTAGACTGTTGAACTGTTGTTAACTGTTCAACCCCAACATTCGATCTTCCTAGTCTTCTCGCTGACGCTTCTTGTCTTCTGTTCGGCACACTACATCCTCCATGTCCCTTTTCGTCATCCTGGCGCGGATGGTATGACACCAGGTCTCCCACAGTAGTCACACGTGTCTTGCTGGCTGGTTCTTCAAAGTCCGCAGGCTTCAGTATACCTTGTTATTTCTCCGTTTTAAGGACGACATACGGACCTGTAAAAACATTCTTCGAATGACCGAGACCTTTTCGCAGAATTACCATGTCTCTGGTTTGTATATTAGGCATTCGAGGTTGCATGGTGAGGTCGTTGTACTTCTTCGTTCAACTTTTCTACCAGGTTGTTTCCTCTATCGTCCTCTTCCGTTCAGAAATATCAGTCTTCCCTGCTATGCCAAGGTCGTAATCTGCTGGTGGCCATGTTGTCTTCTGAAAGGAAGCAAACTGATGGCTATGGCCAAGTCCTGCTGTGTGAGATTAATTGTAATGTTCACCACATGATTTATGTTGTAGGATGAATTGTTGACTCTACTGGACTACCTTATGGCTTACTTCAGTCATCCATAGCCTGCTCAAAGAAGTGCGTTAGAATTCACGTTTCTGATCATATCTATTGGCAACACGCCGATCAGAGAAAATCAAGTAAAAAAGAGTCTGTGTGGACTGTTTTATTTAGTGACCCGTGCAAATCATTTGACCACAGCAAGCCGGATAAGAAACTTTCTTAGCCGCTTTTGGTATTGCGCACTTTCCGAATTTGGCTCCGATGCACCTGTTGAAAAAAAAAAAACGTGGTGTTGAAACACCGGAAGCAATGCAGATTCCGGAGGTGTTGGTTTTAGCACTGCCATTTATGCCTGTCAGACATAGAAGCAATGAGTGAAGCTAACTGCGGACTGACTAAAAAAACACACACACAAAAAAACAGACGAACTTTGCTGAACTGCCAAAGGTGACAAGGATGAAAAAACTGACATTCTGCATAAGTTACGAAAGCTTTTGAAATTTGTTCAACACAGGGAGACTGGGAAGCCTCAACACAATGTGAAGAAAGCATGGCCTAGGAAAGGACAAGATAGGATTTCGATCGCATTGGGAAATTACAAAACGTAACAAGAAGCATTGAAATAAGCAGACGGGTGAAAAAATTAAGGGCTCGAACGCCGCACATACCGTTATAATTCGCAGAATCGATCGCGTTCTTCAGCCAGTAAAGCCTGTGGGAGCCTGCTAATCGAAACGATACCTATATATGTATAATGAAGTGGTTCATCCATGCCCAGGCATTTATTGTGCGGATGGTCACACTTATGCGAATGTCTAAATCAACACAAAAGGGCAGCCGTACTTCACTTCCGTTTGCGAGTTGCAGCTTTCACACAGAATGTGTGTTCTTGTGCTCTCACGGTGATGTTATTGTAGCTGAGTGGTCACCTACGTAATAAGATTACTTTAATCAAGCGCCTACTACCATCGAAATCGCGGGAAAAGGTCTAAAACACACGCCCCGAGAAGGCCCATTCATACTGTTTTTCAATATCGTATATTGAAGCAATAGCTCTCAACGTTTCCATTTTTGGCGTAAATAAATATCACATATAGAACCAATATCTCTGAGAACTTTCCTGCTTTTGGCGCAAATGTGTCTTTCGGAAACACCTCCGAGAAGGAACTTCGGTGAGATGGAAAGCTGTGCTTAGTAGAATGGGTATTTTCTCTTTTTCATGTTGGTTACTCATACTCTGCAATCAAAAGCTTCAACTCATTGACGTACAAGCCAAGCAGTTGTCAATGGGGAGTTTCATTAGAGCTTGGTCGCTTACTCTTTCGTCGTTAGGGTTCCTCGTTGGCATACGTACTGAAGGCAAGGGTCAGTGGAATTGAACGTCATTCCGTCTTTGAGAACACCTTTGTTTGGTGGCAGCAGCTTGCAGTGGTCTACACGGTGAAATAACGCCACACAGAAGTTGCACCACGATTCCGCTGTGTTACTTTAGCAGAAAGACAGTTTCAAAATGCAAAGTGTTGCTTGAAATTGTTATCATGGACCCTACACTTCCCATCTCTTACTACGGACGAGAAATAAAGAAGGTTTTTCTGAAAATTTTATTGATACCGATGAATGAAAGCAGACTACGTGCGTTAGAAAAGTTGGCTGCCACTCGTAATCTTTCTGCTTTGCATATATATCTCTTACACCGAAACTACTAGCTACGCTATGCCTGCTTTGCCTTGTTCTTACTTGCCTTAAACATTGCTGACCGGCATAATAAAAGTCTGGTTGGTTTAGGGAAAAGTAACGGCAAATAAAACTAGGAAACAAAGAGCGTATGAATAAAACATCGCAAAATACAGTGTGAACACATATCCAAATGCTTGCTCTGAGTGCCAAAGTTTAACATATCTTATTGCATTGGCAGCTGTCGTACTTCACTTACATGCATGCTATAACCGCAAGTCATCGAAATAAGAGAAATTATAACAATGACAAAAGTAAATAATTGCGAAAGTCACTGGCATTGCCAAAAAAGGGGAAGGAACAGGGGGTTCAAAGTTTTTCAATCTTTTTCAATTTTTTATATGTAAGTATGCACACACACAAAGTGCAGCTTGAAGCCTGCTTTTATATAAAAAAAATCTCGCTGAGCCCCAGTAAAAGCTGCAACTTACGTGAACAAAACAGTGACCTAAAGGAACGTAGAGGCAAGGTAAGCGCAAAGCATCATTCTGTCGCTTGCGCTTTTGTTCTTCACCTGAGTCAGAAACACAACAACAGTCAGATGAAGATTTAGCTTTGCGACGTTAAACGAAATACGCAGTAGATGAAATCAAGTTTTTGTTTCAGGGGTATATTGAAAAAAAATTATACCACGAGTCGCGAAGAAGACTAAATTATAAAATTACTAAGGGTGTGCGAATATTCAAAAATTTTGAGTGAGGAATCCGATAACGTTCTATTCAATTCAGTAATGGGATCAAATGAGGCATACTAGAAGTACTAATCATCTTTCAAAAAAACCTTGTCAGGACAATACGTAGGAGCTGCAAGGCTTGAAAACTAATTAATAAGTGTTAATTACAATTGAATTACTAAGATTCATGCAACCCAAGCTTGCAATCAGTGTTCCAAAGCACTATAATCAACTATTATCATTATCAATATAAAGATAATGATAGTTACAGAAAAAAATGATAATTGTTTTGATTTTGTGTCTGTTCTTTTAAAGGTTGGTGACGAGTTATGACCTTCAATACTGAAGTAACTTCTGTACAACCTCGAATTGCATTTGGCCTTACCTCTGTTTACATATCGTCAGTAATTTTTGTGGTTAAATACAATCTTAATGTATCTGTGCTAATGTTAGTGAATCATTTGTTTCAAATCAATTCCTCCGGCAATCTGGTGCACTTCTGTATGTAAATAGTCCGTTATGCTATTTGAAAACTATCTGCATGATATTCAAACCCAACTCGCATTTTATTCGGTGTCATGGATATCCTATTCGTATTTCATTTGGCTCTGAAATTCACTATTGACACACCCCTAAAAGTTACAATTAGTGACAAAAGGCGTTAAGTGTAAACTACTCAATAAGTAGTTGATGCACGCAACTGCGGTGCGCTGGCTCCAACGCAAAGCTTTGTTTAAAAAATAATAAGTTTGAACACACTTGCAATGTTGTTAACTACGGAAGTTATGGAATGGTGGTATCAGTAAAAAAAAATAGGCTAATATCTCTGCAACCTGCGGGGACGTTCCCCTGTATATATGAGTGATCATCATGTACACTAGTCATCATAATCAAGGAATTTAGCGTGAAACATTTTCAATAGCCCATAAATGAAACATTATTTTTGATCGTATCACACGGCTCGTAAACCTTTAGGGCTTAGTGTACTTACCTGCGAGATTAGCTGGACTGTATCAGTGCGCACAGCAAGTCCAAGTTGTAGCCACGTCTAAGTGCATCACCAAAAAAAAAAAAAAACTAAACCGGAATCGGCATCGAAACGCAGCAAGCTTGCCGACCAGCCAAAAAGCAGTGACCTGACACTAACGGCGTTAGTTACCATGCATGTAAGGCTGCTTATGCTTGCGGCGTGAAACAGTTCCTAGTCGATTGTTTGGTGGCGGTTGACGACAAGGAAACAAAGCAGAGGAAAAACAATACCTAAGTTACAGTCAATGCAAGGTCATGGAAGCGGCGAAAAATAACAATGCCGAGGAACAGGCCTTACAATTTGTTATGAAGTTTAGCTTGTGGACGTTTGCATGAAAAAAAAATTATCTACAACTGCATTAAAACAATTACCTAAATCAAAATATTAGGAACTGGTGCATGAAACGAACTATAGCGGGAGAACCTAACGCTGAAGTGCAGGCATTTTTCGATTTCGCCTGCATGTAATACATTCCCCGATCCATATCTTTTATTTAGCATATCATTGCTGCTCTTGTTGTCAATACTTTGCTTTTAAGGGGACTACACCGTGACATGAAGGGCATATGACGGTTTTTTAAAGAAAGGACGGCAATTGGCCGCCCTTGGGGTTAGGCGGCAAGCTGTAGGGTGGGGAGCAACTTCATGTCACGCCTTCCCTTACAAAAATCCTATATATGGACTTATATAAAAATCCCCATATATGGCTACATCAGGAATTGGGCATATCTGGCCCATATACGGAATCCCCATATATGGGCCGTATATAAACTGATATGTTCAAATCCTGATATAGCCATATATGGGCCTTATATCCCCATATATGGGTGCTGCTGTATATGGCCATATATGGCTATATATAGAGGCATTCATATAAGGTCTTATATGGATGCTTTCATATATGGCCTTATATGGATACCTTTATATAAAGCCATTCAAATGATTCATCTATATTAGTTCAGCCTGTGTCACCGGCAAAAAATATAGCTGCTCAAATCATTCTTCAGCTAGAAATATACCTGTTTGTTGAAAGGTCTGCATGCAGTCACTATCATCTCCAAAACAAAGGCAGTACATACCCCAGAACACTCTTGTTCAATTAAGTTATCCTCAATATATCTCAAGTTATTCTCAACAACAGTTTGCTAAAACGTAACTTGGCATCATATTTAAAGTTTGTGGTGGGCACATGTCACTGTTAGTCCACTTTTCCTGAAGAGATACATTCTTTGTGCTTAAATTTATTGCTTACTTATCGACACTTTTTTATTTATCTATTTATTTCATTTCCCACAGCACCAATTGGCATTACATTGGGGGAGCATTTACGAAAAGTAGAATACAAAAAATACATAGTCAGCCAAACAAATAATCAAAGTCACCTGAATCACAATCTGCAAGAGAAATTCATATATAAATTGGAACATGTTCTAACATATAAATCGGAACAATTCTAACATGAAATGAAACAAATATTTGGGAGTGTAGAGGCAATGCTAGAAGGCAGCTGGTTCCATCTTGTAATTTTTTTTGGTAACAAATCATTTTGAAACACGTCAGTCTTGCATGCGATTATTCTTATCTTGAACCTATGGTCAACACGGTCTGAGACATAGTACGGTCCAAGTAAATATTCCGCTTTATCGATTCCGACTTGACAAAAATAAATAGCATAAAAGAACCCAATTTGAGTTTCGTAAACACACAGTGTGTTATGTTTAAAACTTTTCTCGTGTGTCAATGGAGCGTCCATAGTCAGTCAAAACGAAATATGACTTGCTATTGACCGTATGAACTGCGTGTGCATTGAATAACTTAAATGAGTTGATAATCAACTTTTAAGAAGTTCGGTCGAAAGTGATTGGTATGCAAGCTTGTTATGTACAAGTATTGTGACTAATGACCTATAGAACGACTGCTAAAACTGGTGTCTATAGGTCTCTGTGCGGGTGGGAACGGAGGCATTTAACAATATTTCTTGCCAACGGGACACTAAAAATGTACTTTGTAAACGTAATCCGCTTTCCATTTTGCCAATAATGCTTCATTAACGTAACAGTTGTAAAGAGCTCATTCTGCAGAAATTCCGGTGTAGGCATCGGTGGCTCTCCATGAAAAATCGTCTTGTCAATGATCGAAAATTGAGAGAATGCAAATAAAACAAATATTATAAATTTTCGGGTTTGAGTGATGATCAAAATCATGCAGGCAATTTGCATGGCATGCAAGTGCTCTACAACACAGCTATGCATCTGCTTTGAAATAAAGCATGAATAACTTCCTCTTGTTGTAAATGCAAGGAAAATAACTGTCATGCTTAATAAATACATGTACCCTGCATGCAGGTTTCACAACACCTTTAATATCGCAGCTATATTGCATGATACAAGCGTGCATTGTCATCAAGCATCACAACACGTTATTACCAATGTGACTTCGCGGTCTAAAGACAGCCAACCATTACAAAAGGCACACTGGTTACTGCACGTATTTCCTCACGACTGCGTAGTGGGTGCATAAAGTTCTAAAACATTTTACACACATTATATTGAGAAGCACGTTCTGCTGGGCGCGTTGGTACTTCATCTTAACTTAGTTGCGCGAAAAAATTTGAAGTGCGAAAGGAAGACACCTGGACACAGCGCACACTAACAACTGAAACTTTATTGAAGAAAACAGACATATGTATGCGGTTACGACAACACGTGAGGTGGAAAAAATTATTAGATGAGCAGACATCTGATCATTTTCTTTCACAGTGTGGACATCGTGTGGTGGACGGCACTGCGCTGTCGTGTGGGAAGTATTATTTAGAATTTATTTATATAATTGTAGATCACAAAGCTTCTTTAAAGGAATTAACAACCATTCTTTAACCAATCATCATATTGTAGAGAGTGTGGCTGCGTGCCCTTGTTTGGAATACGGTAGTTAAAGCTAAATTCAGTGGCACGGTATAGCGCGGGAAATCGGAGAGGCGTATTTCATAAACAGAGCTGGGGATTCATGTGTCACGTAACTCTCACTTATGTTGCTTGCTACTGAGGTAGCTTTCCTGGAAGCGCATCATTTATACAATCTGTCTGCTCATCTAATCCTTTTCTTTCACCGCAAGTGTTCTCGTAACCGCATATATACGTATGTCTGTTTTCTCCAACAATGTTTCAGTTGTCAGTGGGTGCTGCGTCTAGGTGTCTTCCTTTTGTATTTCAATTTTTTGGCACAACTCAGTAATTACATAATATTTCTTGTTCTTTAAACTATGTTACCCCTTTTTTACACAAAATGCAGCCATGTGCGAAACCTTCATTGAGACACTTTCAACCTTCTCAATTACACAGTACTATTCCACAATTAAATTTGTTCAAGTAGCATCATGCAATAAAGAGTACACACTAAGTGATTGAATTACGCACAAGAAACAGGATCGATACTGCTATCACGTTCAACTGTGAAAAACGGAGCTTAACGGTCCCCCAGTTTTTTCACACATTGCAAGCCCTAATGCATCATACCAGTTTATTTGTCGGCTTGCGTAAAACTATCTGCAGTGCTCACGGATTAAAACGTGACATCACATTATTTTGTGTAACTATGTATGCGGGTATGCGCAGTTCCTCAAGATAACCACGCGATTTTGCGACATCAGTAACGATAATGTCGCCTGTGATATACGCATTGCAGTCAAATTTACACTTATATCACCCTGGTTGTAGATGGCGGAAACTAAATTACGGGCTATTCTTAAGTTTTTCCATTTGGATCCGTGACATAGCACCTTGCTTTGAAGAATCAAACTAGCAACAAAA